CATTTATGTAATCAATACCACATTATGATTTATACAGCGTTCTTATTTTCTGCATTATGTTTCTTCAAGTTTGTTCTATATTTCTGCATTTATGTAATCAATACCACATTTTTCTGCATTTGTGTGCTGCATTTTAGCATTATTTTCATGTGTTTCTGCATATCTATGATTTACTGCCTCCCACATCATAACGAGATTGTAGATTAATATTATATTTTTGCATAATTGCAATTTCACATATTATTGAATTATAGTTTTACATTTTCTTAGTATACTTACTTTCTATCTAATCAAGTTTCAATCTCACTTTTAACCTGTAGGAAACTTATGGCGATGCAATTGGAAATGGTGGCCGAAAGTTGAGTTGATTCGGTTGACCTATTTTATCCATTTATGATCTAATATTATTCATGATACTACATGAATAGTTTGGATGTTTTAAATTTTATTAAAAGTACTATAGCACACTTTGAAGTAATTTGCATTACTAACTGTTGATGTTGAATATTAGAATATTTCAAAGTTTTTGTATTGTGAAGATATTTTTGGTTCTCTATTATTTAATGTGATGCTTTATATTTCTTATTTAAAAAGTGGTTTCAAGATACATATTATAATAATAACTTTTTTTTAAAAAAGTTGTTATTATATTTTAATTTTTAATTAGAAAGTCGTGGCTTAGCTTGTATAAATGTGGCCACATAGATATAGGCATAACTACCTTCACCAACATTTTTATAGTGTGGCTGAATGTTGAAAAACAAGCAACAAGTTTAAAGTGTTGCCTATAAAGAATTCAAAAGTGTTGTTTTAAAGCACAAAAGTGTGCCCGTAGATGGTATACAGAAGCGTTGTCATAGGTGAATGCAAAGGCAACGCTTCTTATAATTCGTAGCCTTTTCCTCTTAAAAGTGTTGCCTTAGGGAAAATGTTACGCTTGTTTAGGCCACCCCCTTAAAAGCGTTGCCATAGGTAAAAAAGTGTGGCCTTTGATCAAAGGCAACATTTATTTATAGTTTAGGCCACATTTTTCAACTGTGGTTGGAGGGCAAATTTGTTGTAGTGATGTAGATAGACCAAAGAATATGTGAGAGCGATCTTTCTTACATACTACTTGTTTAGATTCGTGTTTAGGATTAACATCTGGATGAACATTGTGCTTGGTTAAGAGACAAGATGAAAAATAAATTCTCTAGAATGGAGTATGTCTGTCCTTACTCGACTATGTAGTTAGGTAGACAACTGAGGTAGGTGGTTAGAGGTCGAGAGATCATGATCATAATATCAACCCTGTAAATCACTAATTTGATAACCATAAGAAATCCATGAAACATATGTGATACATGAGTCTTTAGCATGTTGCAGCCCTGAAATTGTCCTCTTATTGTTTTAACACCGAAATTGAAGTGCCCATTATTAGTTACTTTCAAGTACTAAATAATTGCAACCGTAAAAGTAATATCAAAGAAATCAAATTCTTGAATTAAACTTGCTTTAAATTGTAGATTGAGTTGAATTAGATATAAATTGATCGTAAGTACTTTAGGTTCAACAATCCGACTCTAGAAGAGCGACTATATTACTTTTGTGACCACATACACTTGCGTGTGTATTTGGGAGCAACAATCACCACGTAACTTGGTCTATGGGTTTATGATTTATTAATCCTTACACTTGTTCCCGAATCAGCTATTACTTGACAAGGTCAAACTATTATATGAGGATTGATAGCCTCAAATTTACATTGTATTATCCATTTCCCCCTTCTTTACCCCCTTTGTCCAGTAAGTAAGAATAAGGTGCCTTCTAACGTAGGCCCCTGTTTAAAAGCTTTCAAAGCGAAGGGAAAAATAATACATGTGTGCATACTTTTCAAGGATTACTATATATTAGGTACACTTCGTTAATTCTTCATGATTACCACAACCATAGTTATAGATTTAGCTACTCATAGTTGTATGACAACAATCAATGATAAATAAGTTATGCATAACCATACACTTTGAAGATGAATAGTTGAAACCCGAAATATTGAGTTGAAATTCAAAGTCAAAAGTCATGAATCGAAGTGTTAAATCTCTTCAAAATTCAATAATCAACTCAAAATAGTCATATTCTTCTATTCCCATAACTAAAATGAACAGAAAGTATAAAAGAAAACGCAGGAAAAATATTTATAGACATTAAAATCTAATCCTAAACAAAAAATAAAAACTGGGATCGACAACTTCTATGAACCCATCCATGGGTTGTAGTACATTTTATGGCTCGTGGAAGCCTTTTATAGATGACATGATCTTCATAGTCTCAGGACTTATTTCATGGACATGAACTACAGTCTGTGCAACCTTTTACGGCCCGTAATCCTCCCTCGTAGGGATTAGACTTCTTTGCCCCTTCTCTAAATCTCAACCACGACTCCCTTCTACGGCTTGTAGAGCTATTTATGGGTCTTATTGTCTCTTTCGTAGAACTCATGCCGCTTTTCATTGTTTCTGAATATTTTCAACCACTTCCATCTATTGCTCCTAGTTAGTGCCGGCAAAATGATCCCATATTTTGGTAACCCGTTTAACCAGCTCATATTTTAATGGGTTGGGTGAGTGATTTTTTCTATTGGTAAAATATGGGTTGATACCCATATTTAACACATAAAAATATGGGTAAAATATGGGTAAAATATGGATTAGCCAAATGGATTAAGCTTTAACTTTTATTCACTCAAAATTCATGATATCACTAAAAATATTGTAACTTTTCTTCCATTTAATGTCTTGTATAAAAACTAATTATTCTTCTCTATAATTTAAAAGATGAAAGTCTTGGGCCCTCCAAAAGATATATATATTAAATGTACATTTCTTTTGTTAATTATAATTATATTTTTTTATTAGTTTAATTTTATATTGGATAACAAATAATAGTGTAAAATAAGCAAATCATGTATTAGTATGGACATTGCTTAAAGTGCATTAAGCATGTTTTAGTCCTAAAATTCAAATATTCATTTACTTTGAAATTAAAAATATTTTTCCCTTGTAATTAAATAAATTTATTTTATATTGAAAAGTTATAGGATTTTTTCTTTTTAGTTTTATGATACAATATAACGAAATAAAGTATATTCAATAATTTTCATCTAAAAAAAGACTAAAATATCTTCTCCATGTTGAATTCTTAAGTAGAGTACAATTTATTAATGAGAATATGGGTAAACTAGTATTTTACCCAACCCGTTTGTTATGCAATCCATTTTTACTCATATCAAATATGGGAGGGTTGAATTATTACCCATTTTATGTTGACCCATTTTCAACCCGCCCATTTGCCACCACTACTCCTACTTCAAACTATGGCTCGTAGATTGGCTCATAATTTTCTCAGAAAATCTACCAACCTCATCTTTTCAAGGACTTAGTCTACAAGTCTTATTTTCATGCAAAACAATCACAAACACATCATATCTAATAAAAAGTGCTAGAGAATTTGCACAAATCTTATGTTTTAAGCATCAAAAGTGTTGTAAGTCCATGACACATCAACACCCTCAATTTAAAATTGTTTCTTTTCCTCCAGTGACAGACACAACTATCACATCACGATAAACTTAGCTAAAGAGAACTAAGAACGTACGACAATCACAAGGCTTTAACAGTTTATTTTATACACGCGGCACCCACCTCTTTCTTCATCAGTGCAAATTCTCAACTTCTCAACTTAACACATGCTTATCAACGATTGACATGACCATATGAACAGACAAGACTACATATACAACTAATTATCACCTTAAAAAAAATGCAACTTGTAGACACATGATTTTTGACCGTACTTGATGTTTTACACTATTTTTAATTCTTAAATATTTTATTTATATTTAAATTAGATATTTTAATCTTTATCTGATTTTAGTAAGTTTATTTTAAAATATTTGAAAACCACCAAAATAGAGTCACATTTTAGTGCAAGTCTTGTTTTTCAATTGATTAAGAAGAAAAACAAATTTACAAAACAAAAATATATGTTTTTTTTTTAATAAATAAGCTATTGTATTCTTAATTATATTATTAGATTAGTTATTTAACATTTCTTATATTTTATTAGTTCAAAAATATTTAGCTAATATTTTTATTGTTATTGTTATATATATTTAATTAAAAAATTATTACCCTAAACTATTCCACTCACCCATTTTCTTACCCCATTATCCCATAACTATACACTCTTACCCTCACATACTCCCCATCCCAACCTATTATAAAAACACAAATTTAAAAAAAAAAGGACTCCGATCCTACACGCAGCAACACCAAATCCACCCGCCCACACATTTCTTTTTCTTCACATCCAAATACATCCTACACTACAATTGACTACACAAATAAAACAATCACATAGAAATATCAAAAGAAAAAAAAAATGACACACGTACAACTATAAAAAAAAAATAAAGATTGAGTTCGAGGTTTGCTTTCGTGGTTCCTCATTGCAGTTTTTTTCTTCTCGTGAATTAATTTTCACAAAAGGTAACATTTTAACTTCATTGTATGATTTTATTTCATAATTATATAAGATGCGATTCCAATATTCACTACAGAAGAATTTGCGGCGGTGTACATACGGCGGTTTACTAAAAATGCCACAAATACCATATATTATAGCGGTTTTTCATCCGCCGTATCAAACGTTTCAAAACCGGCGGTCTAATGTACATGTTGGCCGGCTTAAAACGTCGAATACTCACAAATTAGGAGTCCCCTTACTCTCTCAAACCCTATTCTCTGCCTTTCTCGCGCAAGTGATCGGTGGCGATTCCATTTTCTTCTCCTCTTCTCGCCATGTCTCCTATGAAGCTCACAGATTCAGGCAGGTCTCTCAATGTAATCTCTTTTTTGCTTTTGTTATTTGTATGAATCTCATTTCTTTGTGATTTTGTGATGCTTCGCCACTTAAGTTTCATGGTCATTGTATGAATCTCGATTTGTTTGTGATTTTGTGATGATTCATCACTTTAGTTTGAGGAATTGAATTAGTCTGCTTAGGTTAATTGAAGTTAAAATTTTAGCCAAAGTTACTAAATTCGACCGATCAAATCAACTCCAAATCCATTCCGTTTTGTTCATCATTAAAATTTCTCTAAATTATGGAAGCTAATTTCTTCTGTAATCCATTGTAGAAGAGGAGATTTTGTAAATTGTGTATTTCTTTTTCCTTGTGAATAGTGATGGGCGAAAGAGAGTTGTGGAAGCAGATGCTGGAGTTGTCGCCGAAGCAAAATCGGCTACAGAGACAGAAGGTGAAAGTGCTTAGTAGACTCCAGGATTTAAATCTCGAAGAGGTTAACTCCCTGGCTTTGAAGATCAACTTTGGCTTCAATTTAATCACCTACCTGTTCGGTTAACTTCGTAAACCCCATCTTTCCTCATTTTTTGATTTTTTGCTATTTGTACTGGTTAATTGAGTAATTGATCCATTTTTTGCCTCATAAGCTTAAGTTTTGAAGTTTTTGTTACTGAATTCGGGTGCGTGCAAACATTTGTTGAATGTGAATGTGGAAAGAGCAGAAGATGTACTTATGCATAAGAGATGATGGACATAACAGGGGATCCTAAGAATGCCTTTGATATCCACCTTGTGTAGGTTACACTCTTATCTGCTTTTCAAGCATTTTGATGTGTGCTTGCCTTGTATATGCATTTTCTCTTGATAATTCTAGAAACCGACATCAAGTTGAAATGACATTTGAAAAACTTCATTGTGATCGTAGCTGATGTATAAGAGATGATGGACATTGCAGGGGATCCTGAAAATGCCTTTGATATCCACCTTGTGTAGGTTACACTCTTACCTGCTTTTCGAGCATTTTGATGTGTGCTTGCCTTGTATATGCATTTTCTCTTGATAACTCTAAAAACCGACATCAAGTTGAAATGACATTTGAAAAACTGCATTGTGATCGTAGCTGATTAAGTTGGGGATTTGATTCACCGCCTAAGATGTTCCCAAGAAGCACATGATCTGTTATGTGATTGCTTTTAAGGTAGTTGAGAGCAGTACTTGGTTTCCCACCAAGAGCTTTGCCTCCACCACCGCCAGAAGGTCTTCATCTGGAATTAGGATGATGCAGATACTTTATGGAAATTATACTGATGAAAAACACTATGCTACTAAGGTAAAATTTCTAACATATCTAGTTAGCATTAGTGAATTTACTTTAGTATTCTGTCATGATATTTACTTGGATTCATTGTGTACTTAGTTGTATTTTCATTGGATAGGTATTGCTCTTACTTTGTTTGTATTTGTTTGGCTAAGTCCTTATCATTACTACATGTGTTGCAATAGTTGTATTTTCATTGGATAGGTATTGCTCTTACCTTTTTTGTATTTGTTTGGCTGAGTCCTTTTTATCATTACTGCATGCATGTGTTGCAATACCTAGAACTTGAATGTCTCAAACCAGATATAACACTCTCTCTTCATGAGTAATTAATGTGTTTGGCATATAGAAGTTGTTGTAACTGTTGTATAGCATTAGTGAATATGATGCATTGAGAGGCATAGGGAATCATGGAAAGTTGTGGCACTTATCCTCGTAGCATCGCCGAATGGTACACAACTCACACTAGAAATGAATCTAGTTCTATAGAATTTAATCTCAGATCACAGGTAAGTTAAATCAAGTTCTTGTTTTTATCCCTGAAAGATAGGTTAATCAAGTATTGATTCAATTGTTACTTAACTTAGGTAAGAAGAACACAAATAAGGGGAATTTGAGGAAGCTGCAAGAGCTTGTCCCTAATATGGACAAGGTAAGGTAATCTTAATGTACAATGCCCAAATTTTGGATGTTGCTCAAACATACATATATATCTTTCATGACATTCTAACCCCTCTATTATTGGCTCTCTCAAAAATTAAATATTGGTTTCATGATACTGCAGGTGACATTCATTCACCTGATAGCCAAAAAGATCACCAGATGAATCTTACCACCGTAGATCATGTGAGTCCTCATCGTATGGTACTTTTAAAATATGATATGGTTAATTTTCTTCAAGGAAATGGATGTAAAACATTACTCCTTAATATTTTAAGAATTTCATTATGTAACTTTGAAATACTTATGTTTTCCATAAATGGTGAATGACTTGTTTCACTAATCCTTCTTATATGTTTGTGTTGATACTATTATGGAAAAAATAAATACGCTTTGAGCATTAAAGAAAGTGTAGAAATGGAATAAATTAAGAACATAAAAAGGAACAATAATTGATTACATTAAACCCACATTATGGCGGTTTAAAACTGTCGTTCAGGACAATGTTCACCACGTCACCTATGCTATTGTGGCGTTACTGAACCGCCATAATAAAGAATTCTGAACCGCCAGTTTATACATATTATAATTACAGCGGTTTTCCAAAAACCGCCACAACATGTTTGTGACAGGCGGAATCACGACGTTTCTCTAAACCGCCAGTGATGAGTGTAGCGG